GTGGATCGCTACTTCGCAGCCCTTAAAGCTCTTGATGACTCGTGTGCACATGAGCTGGATTTCAAGTGCAGCACATGCGGCGACCCGTGTATTACAATATGCACAAAAAGAGCTTGTGGGAAAACGTTTGCCCTTGCTGGTTATCAACAGCAACTCCGTATCCGTGACAGGTTAATATGTGGCCTGTTTGATAAAGACCTCCAACGAAAAGTACTGGCGGAGCAGTACAATTCCGACCTCTCCCTGGACCGAGTCCTCTCAATTTGCATCGCACATGAGAGTGCTACCGCCGTGGGCGCGACTCTTTCACCCTCCCCAACCACCTCCCCCGAAGCCTTCATTGCAACCAGACGTGCACCATCAACCTACAAGCATCAACAAGCCAGCTCGTCTGAAACCTCACCTAAGGCCAACCGTTTCTTTCAGAAACCCTATGATCCTAACGACCCCTGCTCCGGATGTGGGGCTAACCCAAGACACCGCCGTGACCAGTGCCCAGCAAAAGACATAGAGTGTAACAAATGCGGCATCACCGGGCATTACGGAAAGGTTTGCCGACAACTGAAACGGAAACCCACAACCAAACCTAATATCCCGCCACCCGCAACCAGAAACAATCAGTCCCAACCAGGACCCTCAAACACAGTTGTTGCAGCTGGAGTACGCAACGAACTCATAACCATTCCGACCGATATCAACCATAAGTTACACCAAATCCGTTGGCTGGCGGACCCGGGGTCAGATCTGGATCTAATCCCAGAATCAGAATTCCTGTTACTGGATGAGCAGACCCGATCAGCACTCAACCCGAAGAACGTCCCTTGCGTAGGAGCCAACGGCATCAGCTTAAGTCCTTGTGGATCGTTCGTCGCGGCACTGCATCTCAACGGGAAAACATACAGTACTACCGTTGGAGTCTGCAAGCACCTGAACGCCCCTCTCTTGAGCAAGAGCGGATGCAAAGCCTTAGGACTTCTGCCGGATAACTGGCCCCATTCAATGATCGTCAATGCCATAACCAACGGACAAGTTCTAACGTTCCCGCCGACCCCGGTGAGAGCCAATGAGATCGATAAGCAGTCTATCCTTACCCATTATGCTAGAGCGTTCGACGACACAGTGTTAAAACCCATGCAAGGACCCCCCATGTCTATCGAACTAGTTAAAGATGCCGTTCCTTGCAAACGCTACCGGGCATACAACGTTCCCTTTCACTGGAGAGACCCCGTCAAAACTCAACTCGATACCATGTTGGCGAAAGGGATAATCGAACAGGTACCCGTCGGCGAAGCCATCGATTGGTGCCATCCTATGGTAGTCGTCCCGAAAAAAGGCTCATCACAAGTCACTATACCAAATGATCTCGCCGGTGCCATCATTGGGAAAGGTGGTCAACGCATCAGGAAGATCCGGCGCGAGTCTGGTGCGGGGATCACCATAGATGAGTCTCAACCTGGTAGCAACGAACGGGTCATCACCATCTCTGGCACGCCCCAGCAGATCCAGATGGCCCAGTACCTCTTGCAGCAAAATGTAAGAGAACATTCCTTCCGGAAGCGATACAATCGCAACGCCAAGCCACTCTCACATTTGGAAGTGGGAGCAATAGTCCTTGTCCAGGATCACCGCACAAAACATTGGACCCTCCTTGCTGAGGTTCTCGAACAACTTCCACGCGGTCGCAGCTACCTCATCCGGACCGACGCCGGACGCCTTCTTCGCCGTAATCGCAGATTCTTACGACCTTTCGTGCCTCCACCGTACACCACCCCACCCAACTCAGCTCAACATCAGCAGACCTTATCCCCTCGAACCCGAGAACCGAACCCGCGTTATAGCAACTACGTTGGATCGGTCCCAAGTCCCAATCTCCAGGGGGGGCATGAGATAAGAGGATGCCAGCGGGCGACGCTGGCATGGGACGCCGGGAATTCTGCGAGCTGGCCAGCCGGCCTGCGCGCGCACCGGGGGCTGCGCGCGCACTTTTCGAACACCGCCTGATGTCAGCCGGCTGTTTACCGCGCGTCGCTACAACCTGCGGCGTTTCCTTCCATTATATAATACTCTAGGCGCTGGTGGAGTAAAAACTGTACTCCATCTGCCTCTTATAATTGTATGTAATTTTTGGACTTATTAAAATATAAATTATTAATTTATAGTTCTCACTGCAGCTCGAACCTTTACCCTAACGCGGTAGAACAATTACATCTAACTTTAATTCAACTGAAAGCTCCGATCCCTTGGGGTGTTGAATTAAAGAGGTTTGACTGTATTTATTTATTTGGTCTTATAGCTTTGGTCTTACCTTGTAGCTATAATCCATAATCCACATTGTGCTTTATTGTCACACTATTTTATTTATTAGGATTTGGTCGTATTACCTTGTGTCCAAGATCAATAGGTAAATTTCTTCCTAAAGATGTTTTTAATGCTGATGAGTCTGTAATTTTGACATTCCTTTACAGTTTGCAGGTGAATACTTTTAATTTGCATCAAAAAAGTGCTAAAAGTAATTTATTTAACCCTAAAACCACCACGCCATCATCAATCAGTTTCAACCAAGGGTTTGCCAATGGCTTCTGCAGCCATTCATTAGCACAGGATACAAATTGACAGTAGGGCATTTTTCCTCTGTGCTTTTGTAGTCTCTTGTTTCTATATGCTACTATAGTCTGTCAGTATTTGATATATTACTGTTAATTTTTTATATTTTACTTATCCCCATTTTTATATAAACTCATTATTTCAGTTAGTTTCGATGATCAAACTTCCAATTACCTAACGGATTTAAATATTTTCATTCTAAGAACTGAATCACAAAGCAGCTCTTCAATTTTGAAAATGCCATTTATTTTTTTTAACTTTTATATCAATATATGCCCTCCCAACATCTAACATGTTAGCTATGGGGCTAGATCTTTGTGACCCAAAAATATGAAATTATATGAAGTCCATATTATACATATTGATTCCAGACAGATAGTGAGAGGGATCATGTGTCAATATGTCAATAAGTCAATATGTTAGACATGTGGCCATTACCTACTGTGTATGTATCCAGGTGGCCAGCAAGCCCAGTCTACTCCACCGAAACTTCAACCTGGTCCCCATTGTGGTGGAACAAACAGGAAGAGGAGAAAGGACCTACGACATTTACTCCCGGCTATTGAAGGACCGGATCATCTGTCTAATGGGTCCGGTAGGTGGTTGGTGGCGTCAGTAGCTGGGATGGATAATAGTAGGCTGTGGTGTAGATCAACGATACCATCTCCAGTGTGGTGGTTGCCCAGCTACTGTTTCTCCAGTCAGAGAACCCCAAGAAGCCCATCCACATGTACATCAACAGCCCAGGTAGGACTCTGGTGTGATGTTGGGCATGGGACATGGACTGGTGGATGTCAGGAGGCTCTGTGACCGCCGGCCTGGGGATCTACGACACCATGCAGTACGTGCAGCCCCCCATCTCCACCTGGTGTGTGGGCCAGGCCTGCTCCATGGCCTCCCTGCTCCTGGCAGCTGGGGACCCCGGCTTGCGGCACTCCCTTCCCAATTCTCGCATCATGGTGCACCAGCCCTCTGGACAGGCTTATGTGAGTATCCCCTCTACTGATTACGTACAATTAATTACAAACAACATGTGGTGCACTTACTTGCCTTCTTCTACCCATCATGACCCTGTGTACTAGGGATAAGCAAAAAAAAAAAAAAGTTTTGAAACAAAAGGTGATAAGGCCAAATTCAAATAAAAAATAGTGTGACATTTCAGTAACAAACATTTCTGATGGTGGTGACAACACTTACTGAAATGACGCACACCAGTTATTTGAATTTGGTCTTATTATCTTTTGAGTGTCCCTACCCTAGGATCTGGCATCATCCTTTGGTGCAAGTTGGATTTCCCCCAAGCCATACCATAGAACCACGCTGGAATGTCCAGGGCCAAGCCACAGACATCCAGATCCATGCAGAAGAGATCCTCTACCTCAAGAAGAAGATCAACAGTATTTACCAGCAACATACCAAGCAACCTCTACCCTTCATTGGTATGTAGACATAGCAAGTGTGTGGCTTATTTTGGGCTAAAATGGGTGTATACTGGTTTAAGGATCTTTGTCCCTCATAAGTAAACTCGCATTCAATTTCTGAAGGGCAAATATCTAAAATTTTGAAAGATTTTTTTAGCTAACTAGGCTTTTGACATTTTCTACTTTTATAACATTTTCTTTTAACCCAAGGTTATGAATGTGGTAAAGTGTGGGGATGAACAATCAGAATAGCCATTTTGACACTTCACACCTTGTTTCATGACTGGGTGAACTAGAATCTGTCGGCCTTTGCCATTAAGACTTGGAGCACTACTCAGTGGCAGGCCGACTTAGCTCCAAAAGAAATGACCGCCTCTGACATGAGGAACAGACGCCATGAGCTAGTAGACTCTCTGGCAAAGTCTGGAGCTCTTGGCCTCCCTGAAGCCAGGAAATCTAGCACCTAACTCCTCCGTACCATCAAAAGCCAATGCCTGCATGAATGGAAATCTAATGCTGCACATGACTGGTACAGAGCAGGAGGGACAAGCAGCGGTTCTGTTTTCTCAAGAGAACAACAGTCTTCAATTTCCAGACTTAAGTCTGGTCATCTACGGATAATGACTTTCCAGAATGGGTGCAAGGTTTTCCCACTATGTACTAAGTGCAATTCTCAACCTGCAACCCCAAAATACAATACTGACTGTATTGACTCATCCTTTGATGAGATCTACTCATCCCCAGCAGACACCATCAAAAATATCAAGCTCTACAAGCTTGATACCCTGATTTGATTGAGTGAAGATAAGAAAGAAGATGAAGAAGACACCTTGTATCTGATTTGGTTTCTCTGAACATGATAGCACTACAGTAGAGCCTCCCATGCCCCAAAATATGGGTTGTGGAGATGGTGGTCATTCACCTGAGGCTGAATTAGATCAGAACATCTCTTTTTTGATTTCACAAAAGTGGCCTACATCCATAGTACATTGATAACACTGGTTCTCATCCAGTCACCGAAGTTAAGCAATATCAGACCCAGTTAGTACTTGGGAGGGTGACCACCTTTGGAACACCAGGTGCTGTAGGCCATGAATGGTACTTCCAGGTCTCCAGAAGGTGTAACTTCCTTTCCCTCTCCATGAAGGTTTCTTTCTAAATTAAGCACCTCTGGGAAAACCCAAGTTGACAATGGAAAAACTGAGACTCTGGAACCTGCTGGGGATCATCTTCTTAGCCTTCTCTCTTATCTCCACTCAATTAGGGTATCAAGTTTGTAGAGCTTGAGAGTTTTGATGATGCCTGCTGGGGATGAGTTAGAGCTCATCATTGGATGAGCCAATACAGTCAATGATGTGTTTTGGGGTTTCAGGTTGAGAATTGCACTTAGTGGGAAAACCTTGCAACCATTCTGGAAAGTCATTGTCCGTAGATGACCAGACTTAAGTCTGGAAATCAAAGACTGTTTTTCTCTTGGGAGAACAGAATCGGTGCTTGTTCCTCCTGCTCTGTACCAGTCATGTGCAGCATTAGATTTCCATGCCTGCAGGCATTGGGTCTTGATGGTACGGGGGATGACTCTTTCATCTAGTTGGGTGGTAGATTTTCTGGCTTCAGGGAGGCCAAGAGCTCCAGACTTTGCCAGAGTCTGCTAGCTCATTCTATCAGAGGGAATGATTAGGATATTATAGATTATAGATACAAGAAATTAAGACCTAATGCAAATAAATAAGTGTGTGAGGTTTCAATAACAGTGTTGTTACAATCATCAAATAAAAGAATCAATGAGAAAAAATATCGCAGCATGTTCTTAAATAATATTATTTAAGAACATACTGAGATATTTTTTCACTTTTGTCTAATGATGGTAACAAGGCTGTTACTGAAACCTCACACACTTATTTGAATTAGGTCTTAATTTCTTGTATCTCTATCAGAGGGAGCAACATCTTATTGATTTCACAAAAGTGATCACTCAGGGAGATGGGTCTCTCATGGGAGGTTTTATTTTATACGCAAGTCATTTCAGATGACACTTTAAACATCATTATTTAGCTTGACCTCGGGTGTCAGTCATCATGATGGCTATTTTCCTTTATTTTGCTAGCCCAGACAGTTCTAAACTTACATAGGAACAATTTTTAGCAAAATATTAACAACCTTAGTTAATACAGTAGAACCTCCCTGTAAAGGATACCTAAGGTATCTTCTTACCGGAGAGTTGTTTAATAGTAAAAATAATAATTTTGCAAATAAAAATTGTCTTTTATAGAGAAGTGTCCTCTAGTGTGAGTGTCCGTTCACGGAGGTTCTACTGTATAAAGCAATATCGCCACATCTATATATAAAAAATGAAACATTAAGACACAAATGTTTCTTTTCACAAATAAATCAACCTTAGTTGAAACCCATTGTAAGAATTAAAAGGTATAAATCATGCTTTCATAAAATATTCTAAAAAAATGTCTAAATTCTTGAAGGGATGTATGAAAGATGCCTGCTATAAACATTGATCCTATATTGGCAAAATGGAAATGGCCAATAGAATCTTCTTATCATCTTTAAAATAATTTAAGATTTTCCCCCTTTTTGTCCACTCATATCAGTGAAATATTGTCCGTCATGCTCAATACTTCAAATGAAACCCCAAGTAATCTTATGAATGCAAAATTTTGAGAGAATAAAGAATTAGAAAAAGCATTATACAAGATTATTTAGACCCTTATTTCCTACCCCATGTTTGAACATACCAATTGCGAAGGATGAATTCCTCAATATATGCTGCAAATAAGGATAGCCAATACCTCAATATACCTTCAGATTATTCGCTCTATAAATCATCATCAAGAACCAGTAAATCAAGAAGGGGTACCAGCAACAACAAGACCATCAGGAACTTTATTTTAGAGCCAGCCCTCTTGAAAGCAGCCAGTAGAGAATCCTGTTGGTTTGAAGAATGTCCTCCTGCTAACTACATACGCCATCTGACCTATTGCGATGAACCCATTCTAGAGGGACAAGTCACAGTGCAACCCATCACCATACAAGCTTGTGCAAAACCTCCCACCAAGGCCTGCTACAATCTTCCAATCCCACTCGGCTGCCAAAAAGAACGCATTTTCACAGGGCCCACTCTAATTCCATATCCATATTTACACCCAGCTGCCCCCTACATGCAAGGGATGGTCCCTTACTGCCCACAGTACCCATGCCCCCCACCACAACCACCTCCCCAACCAAACTACTTTCCTAAGAACCTGGTGATCATAGAAGGAAATGTTTTCAACCCACCCAACTGCTTCATCCAGGATGATGCTGCGCTGCAGAAGCAGCCAAACACGGATGCCAGCCATGTCTATACCAGAGGCACCAAAACCACAGAGTATGCCGTGGTGAAGGCCTACCCTGAATACGAACATCATCCCACCATGTATTCCTTTGTGCCCCAGGAAGAGGAAGAAATACTCGAGGAATTGGTGATGGAGGAAGAACCAGAAACTGAAGAAGAAGTTGAGGAAGAACCTGAGGAAGAAAATTAATAAAAACTAAGAAATCAAGAAGATTGTTTGACAACTCTCCAACTATGGTAAAAATTCAAGGTAATAAGACCAAATCCAAATAAATAAAGTGTGTAACATTTCAGTAACAGCATTGTTACCGAAACATCACATGCTATTTATTAATTTGGATTTGGTCTTATTACCTTGTGTTTATAATCAATAATCCAAATTGTGCCTTATCATTATAGTAAAAATTGTCAAACCGGGCTTAATTATAGATTGACATTTTTATAGGAGGAAATTTTTTTATGTTGAAAAAGAAAATACCCCTCTATTGTCAGAATAGACTCAAAACTATATATACGTACCTTATAATTTAATTTATTTAGACTTGCAATGAGCTGGCTAGAAGAGGGTCAAAGAACCTACTGGAAGGCCACTAGATCAACTGCGATTGATGGTCGCTAACAGGTAAAATTGGAGAATATTCGTCCTTATAATGTCACTAGAAGTAGACTTGATTGACCTTAGCAACAACACAAACTGAGGGGTAGATGATTTGGCTGAGAGATGAAAAAGGTTGAATCATGACAAGTATTGAAATATAGTCAATTAAATTAAAGATATCTTGCTGTGTGTAATTGGGCTATTAAATAGAAAGTCTTAGCCATAAAAATGTTTTGAAAGCTTCACCAAGTCAGTGTATATATGTTATATAAAGGTATTTAAAATGTTATGTAAAAATATTATTTTCTTTCTCAAATATATTTCATAGATTAAAATACTCTGTTAAATCAACCTCCAGAGGTCGCCGTTTTCATTAAATAAACTCTATTGTTGTTGTTTCTGATGGCCGGCTCAAACCGTTTGTAAATTATGTAAATTATCTTTTGTTTTTTATTCTTATGCCTTAAGCCAGGCAGTGCTTTTATCAAATTATGTTTTTTATATATTTATTTAGCTCAATTAAAGCAATTACTGATCTGAACTATTTTTAGTATTATTGCCATGACTGCTGTGTCACATGCTTATGATTTCCGGGATCAAGCAAATGATCAATAAATCTATATAAAATTCCCTAAAATCACAAGAAAATCTTTTTTTTTTTTTTTACAACATATATATATACACTCATGGACAAAATTTAAAGAAGTGGAAAGTCTTTGATGTCCGCTGGTCATCTATTTTTTTAAACACACAGTAAAACCTTCAATGGAGGGTAAATTTTGAGGTTGATAACTCTCCTTTAATTATAGGTGTTCACTAGAGGGAGTGTCAGGGCATGGAGGTTCTACTTGTACACATTTTGTTGAAGATATTTGACATCAAGTGATGAAAACTTTGCCATCTTTTTAAAGGAGACAGGCAATTTTGTTCACACTTGGTTATCCTGTGTGCCTTCAATAAAGGGCACCATGTATTAAATATCTTTCAGAGATATTGTTGGAGAGTAACTACGCACATCAGCCGTTGCCTAGCAACACCACCTTCCTATCAGACATCACTCGACCTGGCTGGCGCAGGCTGTACCTGCAGCATCTTAGTACACTTTTATATTTTTAGCAAATCTTTATTGTCTTAGTAAAGTCTGATACAGCTTTTGTTGGTTTTGGCGAAACGCCAAAAAGTGACAACAACAAATCAATGATGATGATAACCTGCGTCTTGCAGATTAACATTTTCATAGAAACATATATATATATACATATTTATTGCCAGCTATATATCACCATCTTCTCTCTTCAAATCTCACAGGAGGTCTCCTAGCTCGAGGTGGGTTCCGCCTTAGGACAGGACCCTCCTCTTTCAAGGCCTCGGGGTCCAGCGAGCGAAGAGGCTCCAATGACTTTCCATCGTCTGTATCACTCTGAACCTCTGAATCTTGATCCGACCGCTGGCTAGTTAGTCCTGGCGACATCGACTCCATATAACCTCTGTCTCGTACAACCTCCGAGATTATGGCACTGGGATCTGCTCCTCTTGAGTGCTCGGGTTGACGCTCTCCATCTCCACTCTCATCTTCCTCACCATTCCTCCACCTTTTTCTAATTTGATCCCTGTGATAGGCCTTTACCTGTCCGTGGATCAAAATGGTGTAGACTCTAGTTCCCTTCTTGCCCACAATTTTTCCTGGGATCCATTTATCACCACCTCTAAAGTTTTTACACCACACTAAATCATCTATCTGGAATTCTTCCAAATGGGTTCGCCGATCATACTTCATTTGCCTGGCTTGCTGGTCCCTAACTCTAGATGCCAAGCTGGGATGTATCAACGACACTCTGGTTCGAAGCGCACGCCCAATAAAGAGCTCTGATGGAGTCTTTCCCGTTGTCACATGCGGGGTGCTTCGATATGCCAGAAGAACTTTTGATAAGGTGTCTTGAATGGTATCCCCAATTTTCCTTTTGTTTTTATCCAGGGCAGTCTTAATTGTTCTAACCGCTCTTTCAGCCAAGCCATTACTTTGCGGGTGGTACGCCGGGATCAATGTTTGTTTAATTCCATTTCCTTCCAGAAAACCTTTCATTTCACTACCAGTAAACTGAGGTCCATTATCAGATACAAGTTCCTCCGGTAACCCATAGGAA